GGGGAGGGGCAGAAGGGGGAGGAGGAGGGGCAGAAGAAGGAGGACAGAAGGAGGAGGGAGCAGAAGGAAAGGGAGGACAGCAAGGGGGGGACAGCTAGGGGACAGAGGGGAGGGTGGGCATGTCCCTGGATGTGCAGGGACACTGTCTCCTGTTTGTGAGTTTATGCCCCCAGGGAGTGGGGGGCTAGGAGGGCGGTCTGGCTCCCAGCCTTCGGCACCTGATGGCAATTCCAGTCACGGGAAGGATTTCAGACAGATTTCTCCAGAGTTGCAGCTTTTAATAGTGATTTTATAGATCTTTGAGGTATCTGTGTTCATTTTCTTTGATTGTGCTTTGATGGTAAATGCGGGCTGGGCAGGTGGCTGGGATCTGGGCCCCCCGCCCGCGTGCCTTAGCAAGCGCCTCACCTTTAGACGGAGCCGCGGGCCTGGGTGGCTTTGGAGGGTCCAGCCCCACCCACGGCGCACAGCCCTTATCACTCTGTTCATTTGGAAAACAGGTCATGGAAAATTAAATTGCTTAAAATAGGTCACCAATTATAACTCTGTATTCTATTAAAACGAGAGGGCCTCTGGAACCTTCGGTAGTTTACTGTCGATGAAGTCAGAACGTGCAGTCAAGTCTCTGCCAGCTCTGTGTGTTGCCTCGTGATGGCCCTGCCTCTGCAGGACGACCCCAGCTTTCGTGCAGCCTCGTCCATAGTCTGAGAGTCGCTTTGTGATCAACGCCCCAGGAGGACAGGGGACAGCTGAGTTTGAAAAGACACATTTCTAAACATTATTAATAAAACGAGGCAAAGTTTTATTAAAATGGGTTATTGTCCTGACGCCCGTGTCCGCAGCAAAGACCGCCTCCCTGCGGCCTGGCGGGGCCCACGCCCTCGTGCTGGATGCATGCGGTGAGCTCATTTGCCAGCAGCTCTCTGAGAGGACACAAAGGCACAGAGAGGCTGAGGAGCTTGCCCATGGTCACACAGCCCGTGTGGCTCCACACCGTTCCCCACAAGAGAAGGGTCCTTCCCCCAAGACAGGCCCCGCTCAGCTCCCAGATGAGGCAGCTCGGGGGACTGGGGCCGCCTCGGCACCCTTGCAGGGGAGGAGCCCGCTCAGAAACCCACTTCTCTGGGATACAAGTCAAGGCCCTTCCAGCGGCCGCCTGGAAAAGCCCCGCACACACCAGTGGAACCAAGGCCTCCTCTGAGCAGGGCCCGGGCCCCGGGACAAGGCCAGCCGAGGGAGCCCAGCTGGAGGAGGATTTGGGGGCGGGGACAAGGCCCCAGGCTGTGGGTCACTTCTGCCACATCAGGGCGCGGGCAGCCTTACCTGGCCTTGCTCTGTGCCAGCCCCGCCCACAGGCGTCCCCTCCAGGTGGTGGAGGGGATTGGCAGGCACAGAGACGCCCACCGGGCCGCAGGCCCCCACAAAGGGCGGCCCAGACAGCGTGCCAAGAGCCGCCCGAAGCTCCAGGCGGCCAGGGTGGCCTGAGGTGTCTCTTGGAGGCCGTCTGGGGCAAGACCCACCTGCCTTCTCTTGTCAGGGGCGAGGCACCCAGCCTGGAGCCAGATGGCGGCTCCTTTGGCACCTGCTGTATGACTGCAGGGGACTTCCTCAACCTCTCTGTGCCTCCCAGCTGCGTACTTCCTGCCGTGGCCACAGTTGTGGTTTTCCGGTTTTGCCACAGTTCAAGGCCCAAACATCCGGGTCACATGGAGTGCCGTGCTTGCTAATCTCTGTTGACTGCGGCCACTGCGCCCCGTGCAAACTGAGGCTCCGTCTGTGTCTCAGGGGGTGCCCAGAGCACGGGCCCTGCAGCTCCAAACGCCCCCGGGACGCGTGCGGGCCCTTGTCTTCCCGTCCCAGTAACGAACATCTGCCCTGGACAAGGAATTTTACAACAAGACCCCGGCGAGCGGTGGCCTGGCCATGGAGCTGGGCGTGTCCCCCGTCCTCCATCGGGGCGCCCTCGGCTGACCTAATTGACCTCTGAAGGCCCATCACTGGTGTCATTGCAAAAAGTCATCTTGTGCTTTATTCTGAACAAAAGGACGCTTTGCCGACTGGGCTATTTGCTGGCGGGATTGGACTGTTTTTATTGCAATTTACCTGCGTTGCTGCAGATCGAGTTAAAAGCACATTCTAAATATAAACGCTCCTTTGAGAACTGGCCCGTAGGTTGAGTCTCTGCGGTGACGTGCCGTGTGTTCTCACTGCGGGGTACACGATCTGGGACCCCCATGTGGGGCTCCTCCCAGTGGGCGGGGACCAAGCGCACCCGGGCCCTTCTGGGGCTACGATCCCCGGGGGGCTGTGCCGGCCAAGCACGCTCGCTGCTCCCCTCCTTTCCTGCGAGGAGCACGGTCCCCAGGACGCCCAGGGGAGGGGCCCGAGGCCTTGGAAGCCCCCATAAAGAGCGGGCTTGGCTTTGAAAGCCTCTCTCAGGCTACGGTGCACCTGAGCGGCCCGGCGCAAGGCTCTGTCCCTGCTCTGTGCACCTGCTCCGTGTCCCCTAGCAGCTGGGCCCGAGGACGGCCCTGAGGCCTGGGGGGATGCTGGGGGGCAAAGCCGGGGCCACAGCTACAGCCGGGGTGAGCCATTTGCCGAGACCACAGCGACAGCAGCCCCCTGAGCCAGACCGTGGGGCAGGCACCGGGGTGTCCTGTCCTGGGCGCATCCCAGCCCAGCAAGACGGTGTTCTGTCCACCCCGTAGACGGTCCCATAGCACTTACCCCGAGTGTCAGGCCTCACAGTGGCAGCAACGGGGCCCTGGGAGCAGAGTTCGGACCCTGACATCCGGGCTCGTCTGCGGCCTGGGCCAACGTGGGGGCCTCTGGGACCCCGCTGAGCGGCAGATGCCTCAGCGCAGGGACATGGGCACCAGAGGCTCCAACAAGTGGGGAAGGACTTGGAAAGCCGGGTCCCTGGCTGGGGGTTGTGCGGGGCCCCCCAGAGCACACGCGTGTCGGCACAGAGACCTGGGTTTAAGCAGCCAAGCGAGCCAGCTCTGAATGTGACAGATAAAGCCCATTTCCAGGAAGGACACCCCTGTCACCCCCCCAGCTCCCCGCCCCGACACAGATAGCTAAAGACACAACAGGACAAGCACTCGGGAGAACCCTGCGTACCTGAGACCCGGGGCCGTCTGAGGAGTGAGGCAGGGCAGCTGGCTGGCCGCAGGCCTGGGGACGGCCGGGCAGGGGTCTGCGGACACCCCAGAGGAGATGTCAGAGGGGCTGCAAGCCTCTCTGAAAGGATGTACCCACCAGGGTCATGGTGGGATCCCTTTAAGCTGCCAGGCCTCGTAGCGGAACAGAATCGGACCCCCGGGGCAGTGAAGTGCTTGCTCGCAGGGGTACAGCGGGGGTCCAGGTGCCCGGCCGCCTCCCCCAGCAGGCGTGCGTGGTCGAGCTGGCTCAGGGTTCGCAAATCCAGACTCCTGGAAGGTTCCAACTACTGCCCCGAGGAATGGAGTCCTCCCCTCTACCCTGCCACCCCGCCCTCCCAGCCCCCCTGCCCTTCCCACTCCCACTTGCTCTCCTGCCCGGCTGCGCTGTAGCCGAGCCCCACGGGTGTTTGGTGTGGACTCCAGGACAGCTGGCTTGGGCACGGAGAGCTGCCCGGCCTAGGCCTTGGAGAGGATGCCTCAGGGCACGAAGCTGGCAGAGGTCACCATTGGCCCAGGCTGACCGGGTGGGGGCTCGATGGGACCAGCGTGTGAGGGGCAGAGCCTGTGGGAATGGTGAGTGGGTGCAGGCCCCCCTCCACCTGTGCTGGGCTGGGAGGCACCCACAAAGTACAGCAGGGAGGGGTGGCCTTGACCACCCCGACTTCTGCTGTGAGAATAGCCTGGCCCCGGGGAACAGACAGGGCTCTGTGGGCTCCGTGGGGAGAGGAGACGTGTCCCACAGCCCGCCCACCCCACCCCCCGCCCTCTGGGTGCAGCCAGCCAGCCCTCTGTCTCCCGCCCCCCACCCCGGGCCCCTGGCACCCCTCCCCCGGGCCCGGGGAGCACGGGTGCAGAGGGTGTAGACCTCCAGCTGGCCCTGCACGAACCTGGCTGATGCCCAGGGTCCAGTCTCAGTGCCGGGACGGTTTCCACGTTTTGCTGGGACAGTTTCCACGTTCTGATCTCACGAAGCCGCCAGAGCATCCGTGACCTGGGTGGGGGTGGGGGGCGGCGCAGGCAGAGGGACCCGTGGGGGCTGGCTTTACACATAGCGTTTGTTTCCCTGGGCGGCCGTGACAAACTGGGTGGCTTAGAACAGCAGAAATGTATTCTTTCACAGTCTGGAGGCCAGCAGTGCAAGTGAGGGTGTGGGCGGCGCCTCCAAAGGGAGGAGGCTTTATGCCTCGGGGGGGTAGGGGGCGGTGGTGATGGTGGTGGCGGGAGGGCTGCCCGTGGGCACAAACGTCCGCGGCACTGGCCACATCGCTCCCATCTGTGCCTGGCTCTCCCATGGCGTCCACGCCTCTGCATGTGTTTTGGGAGCGCCCCTCCTTACAAGGACACCAGTCACTGGTTAGGGGTGCCCTGCAAGGTGACCTCATCTGTACTGATTACACCTGCAAGGTCCCTCTCTCCAAATAAGGTCGTGTCCCAGGCACCAGGGTTGGGACGTGAAGTACTTTCTGGGGGCTCGATTGAGCCCTTGCATCCGAGCCCCTCCCCAGCTCTGTCCCAACTGGGAGGGGCCCCGGTGCTCACTCCACCCTCCTGCCACAAACACAGGGTGCACAAGACTGGCCAGGGTGTCATCAGAGGCCCAGGCTTACGCCTAGTTCAGTCTGGCCCGTCCGCTCCATGCCTGTCTGGATGGAATCTTCTCCGGGCGCAGCCAGTTCCTTGAGAACGCCGACTTACCTGGACAGACAGAGCTCAGATGACAGGCGCGGGAGTGACCACACCGGAGCCCAGCAGTGGACCTGACCGTAGGTCCTCATGGGGCTGGAAATCTGAGGGGCCTCAGATCAGTTCTGTGCTGACTCTAGATGACGCCCAGGGCTGAGATGGGAAGTGAGCTATTCTGTCAACTTCCAAGTCTCCAGAGGGGCTGCCAGGGAAACGCACAGACGAAAGATTCCCAGCAGGTGCTTGGGATCAGACAGACCAGGTTTCTCTTACTCCAAGCAGAATATTAGTGCGGGGGCCGCAAACCCCACGCTGGGCCGTGAGATCCCGGAAACACCCGGACACGGGCCATCCTGTCCTGAGACGTGGCCGGAGGCAGCTCTGGCCGTGGCTCTGGGAGCGTGGCCTCTGGAGGCTGGCTGCTTCAGGGTGCCTTGCCTCTTGCCTTGCCACCCCTGTGACCTCAATGCCATGATTTAATCTTGCCCCATCTCCCCGGCTGACACGTGGGCCCAGTGGCCCCTCTGTGTGAGCTGGACGATGGTCAGCTGAGGCCGTGTCTGTGTGGCATTTTGCTCAGGGTCTGGCACATAGGAGGCGCCCCGTTAACATTGGCCCCTCTTCCATCAGATAGACCAGAATTTCTTATAGTGGTCTCAGGAGCACCTGTGTCAGAACCACAGTGGCAGGCGGGGGCTTAGGGAAGCGCAGCAGCCTCTGGGCTGGCCCTCTGTGTCCAGCCATTAAGAGATGGCTGATCTGGGCTTGCCTCGTGTCGCTCCCACTGAAACCAAGGATGGATCGTGGGAGAGGGGGCACACGAGGTGAGGGCCAGGTTTGCCCCGGCTCCTGCTGGGTCGAGACATGGAGGGGGACGGCCCAAACAGATGGTAGAACTCATGCCGAGCTGGGACGCATTTATCACTTCCAGGGTGGGTACCAGAAGGAGAACACCTGTGCGAGAGGGGGCAGAGGGATCCTTGGGGGGCCCTCGTGGTCCTTGCTGAGGGCTGGGCCACCTGTGCCCAGAGTGAGACCACAGGGTCTGGCAGAGTAGGGCTCTGGGCTGCAGGCTGAGCAGAGGGGCCGGAGATATCTGCTCCTGCCAGTCACAGCGGGGGTGACATTGCCGAACACCCCCAGCCTCCGACCGAGGCCCCAAAACGGCGGTGCCCCACACCGAGGGCACAGTGCTCTAGGATGAAGGACAGACCTGAGGAAGACCAGCCCTAAGGAAGGAGGAGAAAACTAAGGTCAGCAGGCCTGGCAGCCCGCACTACTGATGGATAGACACACGTGCTCCAGCCTTCCAGCGGAATACGGTCCGGCCGTAAAACAGATGAGGCACTGACAGGTTCTAGCACACATGAACCTTGAGCGTTTCCGTGCCTCCAGAACAGCCACGTCCATGGAGCTGGAAAGTAGGTCAGGGGTGGCCAGGGGCTGGGGGAGGGGGTTCAGGGGACCAGCAGAAGCGGGAAGGGGAGATAAGCATGTTCTTTTTTTTTTTTTTTAATGTTTATTATTTTTTGAGACCGTGAGAGATAGAGTGTGAGCGGGGGAGGGGCAGAGAGAGAGGGAGACACAGAATCCGAAGCAGGCTCCAGGCTCCGAGCTGTCCGCACAGAGCCCGATGCGGGGCTCGAACCCACGAGCCGTGAGATCATGACCTGACTCAAAGTCAGACGCTCAACCGACTGAGCCACCCAGGCGCCCCAAGGTGAACACGTTCTTAAATTGACTGTGGTGGTGCTTACACAGCTCTATGACGGTCCTACCAGCCATAATTATACACTTCAGATGAGCAAACTGTGTGGCGTGTGACATATCTCAATGAAGCTGTTAAAAATTGAATATATGTTAAAGATCAAAAAAAGGGGAAGGTGTAGTCAACAGAAGCAGGACTTGAGATGATCTAGATGTTGGAATTAGCAGACAAGGGCTTTGAAATGGCTGTTACGAATATTTTCCAGGACGTAACCGACAGCATGGACGTAATGAATGAACAGATGGGGACCCGGAGCAGAAGCATGCAAGCTTGAGCTCGTTTGCGGAGGGGCCAGCAGCAGACTGGGACTGCAGAAGCAAAGGCCAGCCAGCCTGAGGACAGCCCGACTGAAATTGTCCTGTTGGGAGAACACAGAGCAAGCAGGGCCGGCCCGAGTGACCAGGGAGACCAGTGCATGTTCAGTGCTGATATACAGACTGATGTGTCAGGCGATCCAGTAAGTATGTCATTGTAACCCCAAAAAGAGAAGAGATTAATAATGCATAAAAATATTTGAAGAAGTAATGCTGAAATATTTCCCAGTGTGGTTAAAAATATCAACCTGTGCATATGAGAAATGGGGCAAATACAAAGAAAAGCAGATTTAGGCTCACATAGTTGTTGCTACGAGGTGGGGACAGACGGAAAAGTCTTAAAAGCAGTCAGAGAAAAAGGACACACACAGACACGGGGAGACAATAGCTGGTTCTCATTTTAAAGGTTTCTATTTTTAAGTAATCTCTGCACCAACGTGGGGCTGGAACTCATGACCCTGAGATCTAGAGTTACACGCTTCACCGGCTGAGCCGGCTGGGTGCCCCGCTGACTCTCATTTTAAATAGAGGATTCCTGAAGATAATGGAACAACATCTTCAAAGTGCTTAGTTAAAAACAAACAAACAAACAAACAAAAAAAACCAACCAAACAAACAACCCTGTTAATTAGAGATTCTATATCCAGTGAAAATTATCCTTCAAAAATGAGGGTGGAGCTGGGCTGCCTGGGGGGCTCAGTCAGTTAAGCGTCCTGCTTTGGCTCAGGTCAGGATCTTGCAGTTTGTGAGTTCGAGCCCTGCGTCGGGCTCTGTGTCGACAGCTCAGAGCCTGGAGCCGGCTTCGGATTCTGTGTCTCCCTCTCTCTTTGCCCCTCCCATGTTTATGCTCTGTCTCTCAATAATAAATAAACGTTAAAAAAATTAAAAATAAAATAAAATAAATTTTAAAAATAAGTCAATAGAGACATAATGAAATACTAAAAACCATTTGATTTACCCTAAAGAAGACGGGAATGGAAGAATATAGGGTCAAAAGACACATAGAACAAAGGAAAACAAGTAACAAGATGGTGGACTTAAACCTAACCATATCACAATCACATTAAATGTAAATGGACCAAACACTCCAGTTTAGACACAGACATTGTCAAACTGAGTCAGAAAAGCAGGACCCAACTACACGCTGTCTAGAGAGAGGCCCTTGAAGTACAGACACCCAGGGAGGGAGAGGCTCGCAGACAGCACGCGTACGAAAGCCATTGTGGCCACACTGACGTCAAGCAAGGAGTGTTACCAGAGATAAGAGGTCTATTTCATGATGAAAAAGGCTGGTTTCACCAGAAAGACATAAATCACAAGCATGCAGCACCCAATAACAGAACTTCAAACACGTGAAGCAAAGTCAACATCACGGAGGATCAGTGAAGATCACGGAAGATCAACAAACCTGCGGTCTTAGCCAGAGTTTTTAATGCTCTTCTCTGAGTCTGGGAGAGAACAAATACGCAAAGAGGGGGTAATGGTACTCAGGGTATGAACAACACCACTGGCCAACTCGACACGACATCCGACAACTAGAAGATGCACATTTTATAGTAATTCTCGATACATTTCAAAAGACTGCAATCTTTAAGAGTATGTTCTAGGGGTGCCTGGGTGGCTCAGTCGGTTAAGCGTCCAACTTCAGCTCAGGTCATGATCTTGTGGTTTGTGAGTTCGAGCCCTGCACTGGGCTCTGTGCTGACAGCTCGGAGCCTGGAGCCTGCTTCGGATTCAGTGTCTCCCTCTCTGTCTGCCCCTCCCCTGCTCATGCTCTGTCTCTCTCTGTCTCTCAAAAATAAATAAATGTTAAAAAAAATTTTTTTTAAGGAGTATGTTCTATTATTACAATAGAATTTCATTAGAGAGCTATATGATGTTCAGAAAAGTCCAAATATTTGGAAATTAAGCAGTAAATTTATGAATCTCCCACGGGACCAAGAAATCATAAGGAAACCAGGAAATGTTTGTAGCGAAATGAAATAAAGATACAGCACGTCAGAAGTTGTGGGGTACAGCTGGAATGGTGCGTAGAGAAAAGCTTTAAGTGCTTGGAGCAGAAAAGCAGAAAGACGTGGTCTAAAATCAATTATTTTCAGTTTCTACCTAAGAATATAGAAAAATAAGAACAAGTTAAATTCCAAATGAGTAGAAGGAAGAGAATAATAGTGATGAGAATAGACATCAATAAAACAGAAGACAGGCAAAACGATAGAGAAAATCAGCAAAGCCAGAGGCTGGGTCTTTGAAAAGGTTAGTAAAATTATCACCCAGCAAGAGTGATTAAGAAAACCCCCCACAGATTTTCAGCTTCAGGAATAATACTGTAGACATTAAAGGAATAGGTGTTATGAGCACTTTATAGCAGCCCCTTAGGTGACACAGATAAAATCGGAAAATCCCTTGAAAAACACAGCTGCACAAAACTGACACAAGAAGAAATGGAAAAATGTGTACAGCCCCGCATCTATGACAGGAAATGAATTCAGAATTTTAAAAATCTTACCACAGGGGCGCCTGGGTGGCTCAGTCGGTTAAGCATCCGACTTCGGCTCAGGTCACGATCTCACGGTCCGTGAGTTCGAGCCCCGCGTCGGGCTCTGTGCTGACAGCTCAGAGCCTGGAGCCTGTTTCAGATTCTGTGTCTCCCTCTCTCTCTGACCCTCCCCCGTTCATGCTCTGTCTCTCTCTGTCTCAAAAATAAATAAACGTTAAAAAAAAAAATTAAAAAAAAAATCTTACCACAAAGAGGGTGCAAATTGTTTTGTGAGGCCTGCTAGGGGTTTTCCGGTGAATGCGCGACAGCTAGCTCTGGGGGCGTGCCGGGGCCTGATGGGTAGTGTCTGTGACCTACGTACTGTGCGGAGGCTGGCTTTAAGTCACCGACGGTCACGTCGGGAAGAGACGCGCTGCACGGCGGCCCTTGTGAGCCAGTCGGGTGAGGCCTGCATGACCCTGACACCTGAACCTGGCAAAGGTATTCTATGTAAGCAAAATGACAGGCCAAATATTTGTTATGAGTGGGGAGACACAAAATTCCTTAACAAAATGCTAACAAGCCACATCCAGCCATATAATGAGGGGAGAGCGGATCATGTCCAAGCATTATTTATCCCTGAAATGCAAAGTTAGGTCGATATTCTAAAACAAATCAATGTATTTTACCAGCTTACCAGAATGGCAGGGAAATATCTATGATCATCTAAATACAGACAAAAAACTCACAAAAGTTGACACCCACTCGTGGTGAAATCTCTCGCAGACTAGGGGTAGAGGGAGCTCCGTCGGGCACCTAAGGGGCATCCACAGAAGCCTGCCGCCCCAGCGGGCTCAAGGCGTCCCTTCCTGAAGCCCTGGACAAAAGCTTGGGTTGTGGCAGGCACGGCTGCCCGGAGGTAGCAACTGAAAGTCTTCCTCTTCCAGGGAGCGAGTTCTCGTGAGATCCCCAGCACGGCCCACCCCGGCCTGGGCTCCGCCCTCACCTGCCTCCAGGTCAGGCACCCGTCTCCCCAAGTGGGCAGTTCTCTGCTTCCTGGGGCGAGTCTGGCCGGGTGGTCGAGCTCTGCTGTGCGCAGACAGGCTTCCCGGTGCACGGCTGGGGGGTGGGGGTCCCTGGGGGCCGGCGGGGGTGGCGATGGCCCCCCACCGAGTCCCAGCTTGGCACACCGTGGGCTCTCAGAAGATACCAGCGTGAGTAATCTGGCGAATGGAGACGCTGCTGGAGGGTCAGAGTGACCGGGACCGGGTGGACCTTCTGAAAAGTTCTGCCGGGGGCGGCGGCGCAGCCGGCGCAACCCCGGAGGGGGCGAGCGGGCGGGGGAGGAGTCGGTGGGCGGGGCCCCGGAGGGACCTGCCTTCGGCCGGCCGTGACCTGGGCTGCTTCCGGCGGGCCCTCCGAGGCGGCGGGCGGGTGAGGCAGGAGAGCGAGCTGCGCCGATTACAGCCGCGCAGAGACGCACTGAGGACTGTCCCCCGTGGAAACTGCACACTCACTGCGGCGAGGAGCGCTAATTATACTGCGCTTGTTACCACCGCGTCTTGTTAATATTCCGGCAGCTGCTCCAGCAAGATAATGATGGCTCCAGCCCGAGCGGCTGCACAGATAGAGCGGCTGCACAGATAGATCAGTGAGGACACAGTTCCCGGAATATTTGTCCTCCGCACACAGAGCGAAGCCTGGCGGCGTGGAGCGTTCGCCCCGCGGCCGGCGGAGACAAGCGTCGCGCGGCTGCGTGTTAGCACACTCGAGCGTGGCTGGGGACCCTCGCCTGCGTGTCCTCAGGCGGGTGTGGGGCTCCGCGCGTCAGGCTGGGTCTTTGCAGACCCAGTGCCCCGCCCCCCGTGTCTGAGGTCTATTTTGGGTTAATCGTGTTGGCTTGTGCAGGAGGGCATCTAGAAACCTCCGCCGCCGACACCGAGCCTCCCTGCCTGCCTCTCTCCGCAAGGCTACTGCCCTTGGCCGTCTTGCTGTGCACACGGATTTAAAAATTGCTGTTATGACAATGAGGCTTTTTCATAACTTTGAACGTGAGATAAAACGATACTGGAATAGTGGTTTCCAGAACAACCGTGCGCTCCGATTACAGCCGCATAAACCCTTCTCATGACAAACACGTCCACGGGCTCGGGTCTAACTTGCCGGGAGCAAAGCAATGCCTGGTGTCACTTAAAAGAAATACTTTTTACTTGGAAATAAGTACAGATTCACAGGAAGTTGCCAAGCCAGAGAGCGCGGAGGTCCCGTGCAGGTTTCCCACGAACGCCATCCGTGGTGTCTTCTGTAACACGGCCGTGGTGTGCACCGGGCAGGCCCCGCGTCTAGCTCTCCGGTGCTGGTCACACGGGCGGTTCCCCGCGGCCACCACGAGCTAGACTCAGGTCTGTTTCAGGAGGAAGACTCCCACCGGTCTTCCCGGTCTCCCCTCCCACCTGCCTCCTGCTGCAGCGCCCTCACCCCTGCCACCGGGAATCTGTTCTCCGACTCGGGGATGCTGTCATTTCAAGAATGTTCTATAAATGGAAACATACTGTGTGTGACCTTTTGCGATCTGCTTCATTCGCTTGGTGTGATGCCCCAGAGACCCAGCCAAGGCGTTGTGCGTGTGGACGGTTATTTTTACTGCTGAGTGTGTCCCACGGTGGTCTGGCCGGACCGCAGCGTGTTCGTAGGACATTTTTGTGGTTTCCAGCTTGCCCGTTCCAAGTGAAGTTGTCAGGATGATTGTGCACAGGTTTTCCTGTGGACCCAAGTCTCCATTTCTCCACGATGGATGCCCAGGAGTCGGTGGCGGGGCCGTGTGGTCAGGGCAGGCTCTTCCTGCGGGCTGCTCCTCGGGGCGGCTGCTCTAGCTGGCGTTCCCACCAGCAGCGGGTGAGGGACCGGCCTCTCCACGCCCTCGCCGGCATGTGGTGATGTCCCTACTCTCTACGCAGTCATTCTGACGGGCGGAGGGTCCCTCGGGTGCGCTGTTTGCACGCTGGCGGCCGATGGTGCCCACCTCCCATCCGTGCCTCCTCTTTGGCGAGAAGTCTCATGTCCTCTGCCTGTTTTCTAACTGGCTTGTTTGGGTTTTTTCACTGTTGAATTGTGAGCATTCTTTATAAATTTTTTTTTTAATGTTTATTTCTGAGAGAGAGACAGAGCATGAGCGGGGGAGGGGCAGAGAGAGAGGGAGACACGGGATCCGAACAGGCTCCAGGCTCCAAGCTGTCAGCACAGAGCCCGACGCGGGGCTCGAACTCACAAACCGTGAGATCATGACCTGAGCCGAAGTTGGACGCTCAAACGACTGAGCCACCCAGGCGCCCCGTGAGCACTCTTTAGAAATTCTAGATACGAGTCCTCGGTTGTATTTTCTCATGGTTTGCGGCTTGTCTTTTCATTAATTTTGATTGTTTTCTTTTAGTTTTTTCCACTGGAGCTCGCGAAGCCCTGGACATTTTGGGCCGTGAACGCTGTGCCTTCCTGCCCAGCGGCCCTGCCTTCGGGTGTTGCCAATACCTGCAGTCTGTGCCGAAGCTGGTTTCAAGCAGCAGGTGGCCCGAAGAGCCCAGAATTCACCGTTTTCTCCAGGAGGTTTGTGTCAAGGTATAAGCACATCCTGGATGGGAAAGTGTCGCTCTCCAGATCCGAGAACACCTCCTACCCTGCCCCGTTGTGTTTGCAGGAGACGGTGGCGTGAACAAGGCGGGAGTTTGAGGCTGTCGTCCGCAGGAGGCCCACGGCCGCTGTGCGCGTCTGCAAACCCACACGGGCACCTGCAGGAGAGCGTGTGGGATGCTGGCTGCCACCTCAGGGGCACGGCGGCAACTGGGGCACGGCCGCCCACGTCTCCACGGGTGTGCGTGTGACGTCTGTGAGCTGGCCGGGGGCGGGAGCCCCGTGTGTCGGGTCCCCTCCGGGCGTGGGTCCCTCCATTCTGTGCGGTCGGCGCAGGGCAGGTGTCAATGCCGTCTGTGGGCTTCTCTGCCTTTCCAGCCGGGTCGGGCCGTCTTCCGTGTGAGCGTGGATGTCGGGACGGCAGGGCCCCCTACCTCACACCTGCAGGTGCCCGTGACTGCGAGAGGCGTGAGAAGGCTGTGTTCTGTCACGCTGAACACGTGTCTCTCCTTTCAACAACTTCTTGTTAACGATGCAAGTTTTCGGAAGGACGGATGAGACCCTCACGCGTTGCCGGTGGGAACGTAAAATGCAGTGGTTGCTTCGGGAGACAGTTTGCAGGATCCCGAGAAGTATTAAATCCGGCGTGGCCACGTGAACTTGCAGGCTTGCGGGAGGCGTGTGCTCGGGAGAAGCGGAGGCCGCACTCACTCGGAGCCTGACACGGCTGGGCACGCCAGCACGCCTCACCACGGTCGAGAGTGGGGAGCAACCCGAGGGTCCGTCCACACAAGGAGTATCACGAGGTCATAGAGAGGAGCGGAGCACAGACACACGCTACCACGCGGATGAGCCTCGCAACCCGATGCTCGTGAGAGAAGCCACACTCAAGCACGCACGTGGTCTGATCTCGTTTGTGGGAAATGCCCAGAATAGGCAAAAGTCCACAAAGACAGAGAGTAGACTAGCAGTTGCTGGGGCGGGGGCGCTGGGGAGTGAGCGCTAACGGGCACCAGGTTTCCCTCCGCGGAGCTGAACGTGCTCCAGACGTGGTCGTGGCGGTGGCTGCACAGCCCGCGATGCCCCTGAGACCTTGACTTGCACACTTTAAATTTTTTTTAAGATTTATTTATTTTTGAGAGAGAGCACGAGCAGGGGAGGGGCAGAGAGGGAGACACAGAATCCGAAGCAGGCTCCAGGCTCCAAGCAGTCAGCACAGAGCCCGACGTGGGGCTCGAACCCACGAACCGTGAGATCATGACCTGAGCCGAAGTCGGTTGTTCAACCGACTGAGCCACCCAGGTGCCCCCCAATAAAGCTATTTTAAGAAATTTACTTACAGGGCGCCAGGGCGGCTCAGTCGGTTGAGCATCTGACTCTTGATTTCGGCTCCATGATCTCACGGTTCGTGGGCTCGAGCCCCACGTCGGGCCCTGTGCTGACAGTGCTGGGCCTGCTTGGGATTCTGTCCTCTCTTTCCGCCCCTCCCCTACTTGCTCTCTCTCTCTCTCTCTCTCTCAAAGTGAGTAATCTTTTAGAAAAAATTCGTTTAAAGAACCAAGTTTACTTAAAGATGTTTCGTCTATTTTATTCAGGACGAGGACTCACACTCGTCACGAACCGAATCTGTGTGCGGCCGCGGGGACCTCGCACACCGTGAGCGCGACAGCAGGCTGGAGGGGTTGCAGATGGCAGGTGCGGAGACGCGGGTGCCGGGAGCCCCTCCCCGCCGCTGGTCGGGGCCGGTGCGGCAGGGGCAGGCGCGTGCCCCCACCAGCCCGTCCGTGGCGCCTTCTGAATGCCTCACGCCGCCGCCTGCGGACTAGCAGGTTCAGAGACGGCGCTGTGCGGACGGGGTTCGAGCGAGCTCTCCACGGGGTGTGAAGCTCTCAAGATGGCCGAGCCCTCGAAACACCCGTCACCGTGCCGTGAGCTCGGGCTTCGTCCTTCCTGCGCATCAGCAGAGCCTGACCGGTCACGAGCAATCACTCCCTCCTCTGGTGGCCGAGTTGTCTGTTGCTGCGAAACAAAAGCTGGCTGGCTTGAACGAGGACACCCCTCATCTCACAGCGTGCGTCCGTCCGTGAGTCAGGGCCTCGGGAGCTGGGCTGTCTGGCTCAGGGTCTCTCCAGAGGTTGTGGTCGGGACGTCGGCCGAGGCCCCGGTCACCTGCAGGCTGGACGGGGGCTGGAGGGTCCCCAAGTTGGCCCGCTCGCACCGAGTCGGCGGGCGGCCCCAGGTCCTCGCCCCGTGGACTCTCCCGGGGCTGGTCCCCCCGGGGCGAGCCGTCCGCGGGGGACACAGGGCAGCTGCGTGAACCGATCTCGGGTGGAGCACACGCTGCCCTTGTCGGCAGCGCGTCACCAAGAAGATCCCGCACCGGAGGGGAGAAGTGTCACAGAATGTGGGGACATGACCGAAGCCGCCGCGTCCCGTATCCGGAGGGGAACGGTGCCAACAGCAGTGTGTCAGTCACCTCCTGCTGACGGGCAAAGCCCAAGGAGATGACACATCCCCCAGGGCCCTTTCTGATCCGTAGACAGTGGTGACGGTGGACAAAGACCGTGGAAGGCCGCCTGGTGCACAAGGGACCGACACGTTGACCTGGAACTGGTAGCCTCGAACTCTGACTGGGGTGGAGTCACCTGGGAGGTTTTGAAAGGCTGCCGCCCAGGCCCCAGACGGGAGAGCCAGTGCCCTGGTGGCCAGCGGTGAGAGCCCGTCGCTGAGCCCAAGCGGGTGGACGCTGCTTCGGGGAGCCCCGGCCGGGTACGACCTCCTGGGTCGGACCGTGCTCCCCTCTCCCCGGCTGCGTGCCAGACGGAGGCTATGGTTACCGTCAGGCGTCCGGGTCCTCTCTGTGGCTGCCGGATGGTCGTTCCCAGACGTGGCTGGAGTCCCCAGGAGCACAGAGCCTGACTGCTGGGCTGGACGCCGGGCAGAGAGGCTGTGGCTGCAAGCTGGGCCTGTGCTCTGCTCTCCCGATGACACCTGAGTGCTGTCTGGCCAGCCCGTGTGGTGACCAGGTGGCGGCCGGGTCACTGCTTCTACACACTTCCCGAGGTCAGTTCTTGGTCGGCAGCCCTGCAGCCCCCCTAACGCACCAGCTTCTGCCGCCCCCGAGGCCCTTCTTTGGCGGCTCCTTTCCTGAGCAGTTTGGACAGCCTGAACCGTTCATGTTGTTCTATTCTGCCTGGGACCACGGAGCCCGAGGCCACGGGGGTCCCCACGCCCACCCTCTCTCATCCCCAGGGTGCACTTGGTCCTGGTCCCGTGGCTCAAAGAGATTCATTAAATTGGGGAATCTTAATTTCTATTCTTGTTTTCTGGTTTTATTAATTTTAGCCGGAGTCAGATTTGTACTATTTACCTCTTTTAAGTCTTACAGTTTTTTTAATGGCCCAAAAGGTGGTCAAAGTGGGGGTGCCCACCTTCCCCACGGACCCCCGAGAAGCTGTTTATGTCCCCCGGGGCCGGCCTCTGGTGTCAGCTGAGCCCTCCAGCCTCCTGCAGGGGACCCTCCACTCCAGCGGCCACACTGGTGTGTGGGTCCATCCCGCTGACAAGTCCTGGTGGTGGTGGCCAGTGAGGCTCAGATGCCTGTCCCTCTGGGGCTGGGGCTGTCGGTGGGATTCCAGGACACCCACCGGGGAGGTCAGTTCTGGACGTGATGCACTCAGTTAAGAAGGAACTAAATTTCCCCTCGAATCCCAAATCACCAAGTCCAGAATCAATTAGGCCGACCCAGCGCCACTGATCTTGAACTCAGATAATGATTTTTCCAAAAGATTTATCCATCCGGCAGCATTTAATTCACTGTCTATTAACCTAATTAAAGTGTACCTCCTTGATTCACGTCCTTCTCAGCCAGGCATCTGCCGTGCCCATGGTGGTGCCGCCGGCCTGGCTGGACCAAGGACAGGGTGAGGCTCCCGGGACCCTCCAGCCCTCCCGAGGCCTGGTGTTCCCTCAGCCCTCCGTCTGCCGGTCCCGGAGCCCCCTGGTTTCTCCCCAGAGCCCCGCCCCGCCCCCTCACCGGCAGAGGCAGCACGTGGCTGGGGGCAAGGCGTCCACTGGAGCCAGGCCCGCCCCCAGGCCCAGCGAGGCCCCTGTCCCAGGACCCCCATCCCAACCTCATCCCCCCCCCAGCCATGGACACTGCCTCTGGGGCCATGAATCCTCCGACTGGAGGCACAGTCGCGGGAGGCACACTCCCTTCTGGGAGGAAGATTCGCTGCTTTTGGAGAGTCTTAAAAGGGTCTGAGACTCGGGGGTGAGCACCGTAGGCTCTGGCTGTCAGCCTGGTGTCCCGGGTGGCGGAGGTGCCACGGCTCCAGCCTCACTGCTCCGTGGAGAAGCCGTGGCACCGGGTGGCCAGGAGCTTGACGCACAGCAGGGCCACCGGCCGGGGCGGGGGCTTGTCAGGCCCCAAACCCCAGGCGCCTGCCCCTGCCAGCCGTGTCCTCGCAGCTGCGGACTCAGAGTCCGGGACCCACACGCCTGGCCCCTCTGGGGCTGTGAGCGCTCCAGAGACGCCCCCGGCCAGCCCTGCACGGACGACGAGAGCACCTCTGAGTGGTTCACCGTGTCTCTGGGCGCTCGGTGAGGATACACTGAGGATCGTGACACCGGTCTCCCTCCCAAGTCCCCGTGCCGTCCAGGTCTGAGGAGGGTCCTGCAGGGGGACGGGAGGGGCTGTGACACCGTGGTCAGCTCTGAAAGCCCCCAGGATGGGGGGGGGGGTCTCCCCAACCTCCCCTGCTTCCTGGGCCTGGGGCCAGGCCGTGGGGTCCCCTGTGGCGTTTCCACCTGGCAGTGGTGGCCTGTGCTGGGGACAGAGGGGCGGGTGCAGGCGGGGCTCGCCATGGAGAGAAGCTGCCACGAGCTTCCGGCTTAGCACCAGGTGTGTGCAGAAGGTGCCCTGGGGCTCCACCCAACTGGCTGTGCCTCGTGCCGGGCGCGGCCCCTGTCCCTTCCTTCCTGGGGTGGAGATCTCAGACCCAAGTGCCCGCCTGTGTCATCGGTCCTGGTTTCTGGGCAGCCCCCTCAGTGGCTGGATCCTCATCAGCATTTGGCAATGGCCCGGATGGGCTTGGGATAAGAGGGGTCCCACTCAGGAGCCACGTCGTCTCGGGGGAGGTGGCGGCCCCAGGGGACAAGGGGGGAGCCAGGTCCTTGGGGCATTTCCACTGGGCTCTGGATTGGGTGGAACTGATGCCACATGTGGTCGGTCTAGGTGTTTGGAGCCCCGGTGACCCTCGGTGACCGTCTGTGACCCTCTGCAGGAGGCAAGCGGTGCCCCGGGAAGTGAAGGAAGCGGGGGCATGTGTGTTCTCTGGAGGGAGGTGACTCAGAGCAGCTAGAGGTCCGCGGGCGAGGCGAGGCTATGGCTGGGGGCCCAGCATGGGGGGCCAGTAAGCCTGGGCATGAGGCCTGGAAGTTGAAAGCTCTAGGGATGCAGTGTGATTAGCGCCCCCTCTGGCAGCTGGTGGGAAAGTGCCCCTGTCTACCCCACTAGGCTGGGCAAGAGGCAGCCCTCGAGTCAGATCGAGGCCAGGAACTTCCGGGTGGCTGTGGTCCCACGGGGTGGGCCCCCGTTACTCCTTGGGGCCTGTCCCTCCCAGAGACACGGCCAGCCTCGGCCGCCACGTGCCCAACACTCCTGCACCCTGGATCTCCGCCTGGCTGGGGCCGGCCCCTTGATGGGGGGACTTAGAGCGGATGCCCACTGCCTGGGGGTGACCAGCCAGCCACCCCTTGGAAGGTGACTGCTGCCGATGCCCCCAAGCCCTGTGCTCCTCTTCTTCAGCAGAGGAAGCGGGGGTCAGTCTGTCACGCCTAGCTTTGGTCTCCCCTCTGCCCCACCCAGACCCAGCCCCTTCACCTCCAATCCATATGCTTCTGGCGGAGCGGAGCGAGCTTGCTCTGCGACCTCAGGAGGTGGCTCCGCCCTCTCTGAGCCTTCGACTCCAAATGTATAAGGTCGGTAAAGACCCCCTTCCCAATTCACCATCCTGGGGTTGGGGTCCTCGTGGAGCCAGGAGCGACCAGGAGGGCCTTGTGGCCCCCACGGTTCTACCTGTGGGAGGGGGTTCTGCCTTGGGGAGGGGATTCTACCTG